GGGCGGGGGGTTGGGGGGGTTTAGAGGGGGTTTAGAGGGGTTTAAAGCGGCCGTGAGGGGTCTAGGGGTGCTGTGAGGGGGCTCTAGAGGGGTCTAGGGGGGCTGTGAGGGGGCTCTAGAGGGGTCTAGGGGGGCTGTGAGGGGGCTCTAGAGCGGTTTAGGGCATTTCTGAGGGGGTTTAGAGGGGTTTAGGGCAGCCCTGAAGAGGTCTTGAGGGCTTAAGGGGGCTCTAGAGGAGTTTAGGGCATTTCTGAGGAGGTTTAGAGGTGCTCTGAAGGGTTTAGGGCATTTCTGAGGGGGTTTAGAGGGGTTTAAAGCGGCTGTGAAGGGGTCTAGGGGGGCTGTGAGGGGGCTCTAGAGGGGTTTAGGGCATTTCTCAGGGGGTTTAGAGGGGTTTAGGGCAGCCCTGAAGGGGTCTCGGGGGCTGTGAGGGGGCTCTAGAGGGGTTTGGGGCAGCCCTGAAGGGGTCTTGTGGGCTTAAGGGGGCTCTAGAGCAGATCTGAAGGGGTTTAGAGCAGCTTCAGAGGGGTTTAGGGCGGCTCTGAAGGGGTCTTGGGGGCTTTAAGGGGAATCTAGAGGGGTTTAGGGCAGCTCTGAAGGGTTTTAGGGCATTTCTGAGGGGGTTTAAAGGGGTTTAGGGCAGCCCTGAGGAGGTCTTGGGGGCTTTAAGGGGACTCTAGAGGAGTTTAGGGCATTTCTGAGGGGGTTTAGAGGTGCTCTGAAGGGTTTAGGGCATTTCTCAGGGGGTTTAGAGGGGTTTAGGGCATTTCTCAGGGGGTTTAGAGGGGTTTAGGGCATTTCTCAGGGGGTTTAGAGGGGTTTAGGGCAGCCCTGAAGGGGTCTCGGGGGCTGTGAGGGGGCTCTAGAGGGGTTTGGGGCAGCCCTGAAGGGGTCTTGTGGGCTTAAGGGGGCTCTAGAGCAGATCTGAAGGGGTTTAGAGCAGCTTCAGAGGGGTTTAGGGCGGCTCTGAAGGGGTCTTGGGGGCTTTAAGGGGAATCTAGAGGGGTTTAGGGCAGCTCTGAAGGGTTTTAGGGCATTTCTGAGGGGGTTTGGGAGGCTTTAGAGGGCTTTAAAGCAGCCCTGAAGGGGTTTAGGGCATTTCTGAGGGGGTTTAAAAGGGTTTAGGGCGGCCCTGAGGAGGTCTTGGGGGCTTTAAGGGGGCTCTAGAGGAGTTTAGGGCATTTCTGAGAGGGTTTAGGGGTGCTCTGAAGGGTTTAGGGCATTTCTGAGGGGGTTTAGAGGGGTTTAGGGCAGCCCTGAAGAGGTCTTGAGGGCTTAAGGGGGCTCTAGAGGAGTTTAGGGCATTTCTGAGGAGGTTTAGGGGTGCTTTAGAGGGGTTTAGGGCAGATCTAAAGCAGTTTAGGGCATTTCTGAGAGGGTTTAGAGTGGCTTAGGACAGCCCTGAAGGGGTCTTGGGGGCTTTAAGGGGGCTCTAGAGGGATTTGGGGCATTTCTGAGCAGGTTTGGGAGCCTTTAGAGGGGTTTAGGGGAGCCCTGAAAGGGTTTGGGGCATTTCTGAGGCGGTCCTGAGGAGTTGTGAAGGGGTTTGGGGTGCTCTGGAGGGGTTTAGGGCACCTCTGAGGGGGTCTGGGGGGGGCTGTGAGTAGTTTAGAGAGATTCTAAAGGGGTTTAGAGCCTCTCTGAAGGAGTCCTGAGGGGTTTGAGGCATCTCCGGGGGGGTTTGGGGGGGCTCTGAAGAGGTTTAGGGAGGTTGGGGGAGCTCCAGAGGAGTTTAGAACATTTCTGAGGGGGTTTAGGGGGGCTGTGAGGGGATTTAGGGGAGCTCTGGGGGGGTTTAGAGCATCTCTGGGGGGATGTGAGAGCGTTTAAAGGTGACTGACGAGCTTCAGGGAGGCTCTGAGGGGAGGTTTGGGGGGCTGCAGGAGGTTTTGGGGGTGTCTGAGGGGGTTTAGGACATCTCTGAGGGGGTTTAGGGGGTTCAACAGCGCTGTGAGAGGGTTCGGGGGGCTCTGAGGGGAGATCTGAGGGGGCTGAGGACAGTTAGAGGCTTTCAGGGGGAGTTTTAAGGGAATTAAAGTGAATTCTGGAGGGGTTTGGTGCATCTGTGAAGGGTTTTTGGGATGGATGTGAGGGGTTTATGGAACTCTGAGAGGGTTAGGGGGGCTCTGAGGTGATTTTGGGGGGGAAATGTGAATTTAAGGGGGCTCTGAGTGGGTTTGGAGGGGCCCTGAGAAGGTTTAGGACATTCCAGAGGGGAGTTGGGGATGTCTGAGGGAGTTCAGGACATCCCTGAGGGAGTTTAGGGGGTGTAAAGTGATTTTGAGGGCGGAGAGGGGTCTCTGGCAGGGTTTGGGGGGGATGTGAGGGGATTGAAGGGGTCTGTGGGGGGTTTGGGGCATCTCTGAGGGGGTCTCGGGGGTCTCTGAGGGGGTTTAGGGCATTTTTGAGGGGGTTAAAGGGATTTTTGGGGTCTGCAGTGGGAATCTCTCAGG